ACGTATGGCGGTATATGTGTCTCAAAAGGTGGTGATATATCACACAATAAGCGCTGGAAATTGTGTGGATATGTAGTCAGCACCGGTATCATACCATTGATGTTGTGGGGATCCATATATATGATAGTCAGCGATAGTTTTTTCGTACCAAAACATGACTTTCCTGTTACTTTCGTAATTGAGAAAGTGATGACATGCTTAACTTATATTATAATACAAATTAAATTTATTTACATAACAATTAATGGCTCCCATATTATGGCTACGTGGATTAAACTGGGTGGAATAACCAATGTGAAACATGTTGTTATAATCCTAACGATTTACATATTTTTACTTTTAACACTAATTGCGTTTAATTATAAGCTTGCTACATCAAGTCATTATAACTTTGAATTGCTTATTTTCAATTTTGTTGGCTTATATTTTATTATCGGCCAGTCCACTCTACATATTATTATGTATTGTATGTATAATACTATTAATTAGCATGATTTAATGCAATTTATTTTTATTTAATTAAAATAAAATTTTAATTTACACAGGCATATCATTATCGGCAAGTGAGCAAGTGGAAAAATTAACAAACAAATTAATACTAAAATCTATTAGCCAGCATCATCATGATCAAATTGATATGGGCTATACTAGAAAAGTATTCAATAATATTAACGACACAATCACTGAATTGGACAGTTCGTTTTATCTGTACATGATTAATATTCTGGAGTGTATGTCCACTATTGTCAATATAATGGTATACATATACATCGCGTCTGTCAGGAAACATAGCCCGGAGTTGGAGTTAATTTTAAGCATTATATACCCGGCCATCAAGATTGTCGCCCATTGTATGATCCATGGGATGACACAGACATCTGCGCAGACATTCTTTAAACAATTGGACAAAATAGATGTGGTGGAGATGTCTGAGCCCCAGCACCGACACTACCTGTCCCTTAAATTACAATCCGTTAACACATATATGGGTTTCACAATCGCGGGGTTTATACCCTATAATAGGAGTACATTACTCGCTGTAAGTTATCTAATACTGTATTTATAAAAATCACACAAAGTTTTAAGTTTTCAGCGTTTGTTTAAAATTTATTTCAAACCTTAAATTCTTTAATTAAAAATATAATGTCAATGTTAATAAGAAATTCCTGAAATATGTACTTGCTCATTTTGGATTCTTTTTCATAAGACAACATCAAATGTAAACAAAAACAAAATCATAAAAATAACTACAAAAATTCATATATTATATAAAACGCGTAAAAATCATATATCACAAAAATTGTAATTAAATAAAACTTATAATATAATTTAACATAAAAAACAGACGACGTTAAGGAAGTTATGCATATTAATTATTATTACTAATTAATACAAAATATTGGCTAATAATCGAGAGTCTATGAATTCAGTAAACTACTCAGTATGAGAATAAAAATGAATTATAAATAAAGCATCCAAAACTAGTTATTTAACTAATTGTTTCGATATTGGAGAATTTCATAAGATTAAGTATGTATACGAATCATATAATATGTTTCATTCTAGGAGATTTTTATTTTACCTATAAATAACTATTTGACAGGTTAGTAATTATTAAAACCATTTTAGATTTCTAAGCAAATTTTGGGTAAAAATGTTAACATTTTAGACATTCACTATAAAAATAGTTATTTTAATGAATAAAACAACATATAAAATTAATTAATTAATACTTATACAAATACAAAATATACTAAAACATTTGAAGCCCTTTGTTTAAAAAAGATAGAAATTTGATTATTTTTTAAATATTAATATAATCCTGTTTAGTGATTAAATTATGATTATATTTACGAGTTAATCGAAGGGTATAATTATTTATTTGACAAAATTCAGAAACAACACTTATTAATTATTATTATAATAAATTAGAAAAGGATTTTACCTAAAACTATAGAAACTATTTAATAACCAACTATTTGACCAGTTTTTGTTAACTTTGATGGTGGCTATAAATCTCATTTTTACCACCTTGATTAATATGCTTTAATTATAAATAATAAGAGAGGTAATTATTCGTAGTAGTATTTAGTCATTAAAATAATTAAATCGCAAATAAAAAAGGCAACAATAATTTCATTTGAAATAATTGCCAATAAATTATGAGGGAAAGACATAAGATATTATAGTCCTGGAAAGGGTTTTGACAATGTTTTTGATGTTTTCAATAAAACTCAAAATCACACATTTTTGGAATAGGGATTCCCATTAATTCAAAACATTTTCCTTTTGTTTTTCGTTCAATTTTTATTGACAATCGATTCAAATGAAATTATTTTTGTCTTTTTTACTGGCGATTTAATTATTTTAATAACTAACTACTAACTCAAAGTATATTTTTCACGGGATTTCGATGAAAACGAATTGATTGAATGCATGAAAAATTTGATTAAAATAGACGCCGATTGGTTGCCCCTTACGAGACGGGCGCTCCCTCTACATCAGACCCACTTTCATAGGTACGGAGGCGGCGCTGGGGGTCGAGAGCGCCAACGACGCCATACTGTACGTCATATGCGGACCGGTGGGCCCGTATTTCGCCGCCGGTGCCGTCCAACCGGTGTCCCTATTGGCCGACCCGGGCTTCGTAAGGGCCTGGTCGGGAGGGGTGGGCAACAAGAAGGTGGGCGCCAACTACGGGCCCGCAATGGCCCTGCAGGGCGTCGCCGAGAAGAAGGGCTGTCAGCAGGTGTTGTGGTTGTATGGGTCGAACATCAGCTCACAGAAGTAGGCGCTATGAATGTGTTTGTGTTTCTGGTGAACGAGAGGGGCGAGAAAGAGTTGGTGACCCCACCGCTCAAGTCGGGTCTCATACCGGGTAACCCGCGTGTCGCTCATGGAGTTGACTGAATCGTGGGGTGAGTTTCGGGTGTCGGAGCGCGTGATAACGATGGCTGAAGTGCGACGACTGGTCAAAGAGGGCCGGATGTTAGAGATGTTTGGCGCGGGAACGGCGTGTATAGTGTGCCCGAAAGGGCGCATACACTTCCAGGGCGAGGACATCGTAATCCCGACGCCACCAAATGCCGGGTCACTTCAGATGCGACTATTCAAGAGTTTGCAAGACATTCAGTACGGAAAGGTAGCCCACGAGTGGGCACTAGTAGTGGACTAACACTTGCAATCACTGCATATTTTTCTGGTGTAATTGTATAATATTTTTGGCTTTTTGTTACATTTTTGTGGAGTCATTAAAATTAGCGATAATTTTTTTCTCGTAACTTATTTGTCAGTTATATGTCTCCGTCGAGTATCTATTCAAATGAATCTCAACTTTAAAAATAGTTATATTTTACGTATAATTCAGTAAATTATTTAAAGGAAAACCTTACGATAACTTATAATTTTATTGTAATTTTTAAAAAGAGAGAAAATATATAATCAAATCATTTTTTGTCGACTTTACAAATGAGAGAATAAAATTCAATATATAATTGTTTGTCATTAATTATTGCATGGGTTTCATTTTATATATATTTTATTACTAAAAACCCATTATAATGACTGCTAATTCTTTTACTTTTCATAATTCATAATAAGTATGTGTTTTGCGTGTCTCATCATTAATTGTCAAATAATTATAATCTTAAATAATTATTTTTTGTTCGCAAATACAAAAAATCACTAAAACAAGAGTTGAGATAAATTGGCAATAAATGTGGGGTAAAATCAGAGTTAAAATTAAAACTCATACGAAAATAAATACATGAAAAACACATGGTTAAATTAATTTTTGTAAAATTAAGTATTTGTTAAAAAGGGAGTAAGAGATTACATAAAATTATAATTATTTTATATTCAGCCTACAATTTTTAATCATTAAATATAAAGCTTTTGTTTCATAATCTATTTGTGAAACAATAATTTGGGAGTTTTAATATCCTGTTTTTTTATGACCTTAGTTATTTACTGTATTATCAAGTAAAAACTATTTTTTCACATTTATTGAAATTATATAAATTGTGAATTTTGACAACATTTTTATTTTATAATTAAGTTTAATCAAATTTTTCATTAAATTTATACAATATTCATATTTCTACTTATTATAACCCCATTTGGCTCCGGGTGATAGCACGGGCCACTGTTTATATTTTTCAGAGCTCTGGTAGCTTTTAATGGTCGGTAAGGCTTCAAAACGGTCTAAATACCGGCCAATCACTGGATACTTAGCTATAGTTTCCGGTGTAAACAGTCTAAACGAGTCCAGCAGTTCATAGGCAAGAAAGTCCACATACGATAAGCTTGTAGTCAACCACTGTTTATCGCCCAAAAATTTAACCAAATCATCCAAATGGGGAATCAAGACACCAGTGATATACCCATCCTTAGTATCAGCCGGATCTTTATCACTAAATACAACTCCCATAAGAAATTTCATCCTAATATCTCTCAATTGCTCGGCAACTATCTCTTGCTTTATGAGTTCCCTGTCATCCCTGGCCACCAGTCCATGCTTTCGGGCCACGTAGTTCAAGATAGCCTTGGATTGACTTATTTTTACGTCACCGTCGATATAATAGGGAAGGTTAGGGAAGTCGAGCCCTAAGTTAGGTTTGTCTGACAGCCATACATCCCGTTCCGAGTGTTTGTACTGTTTCTCCACAAAGTCCACCCCCGCGTAGTACAACATCAGACGTATTGGCTGAGCCAGGCCACGGATGTCCCAATAGCCCAGTGTAGGTTTGGTTGACATTATTATTAAATATTTAACAATTTTATATATTATTGATTGGTGGAAATAATAATTTTATTACAGAACTTCTAGCAAGTTTAAATTAAAATCTTATTAATTTATTAATCGTGACTTGACTAAAGCGCAAGTACAAAATTTTACATTTGTATAATTTATACAATATTTTTTACTAAAGTTTTATGTTTTCACTGTTTAAGTTAGTGTATTTAATTACGGTATGTAACTAGCTTATATATACTTTTTGCGAACGACCTTCATAGATTTATCACACAATAGTAAATAGTATCTGTACTTACAGATTCTGTACTTATTTCGATAAATAAACAGATTGCAATATAATATTGCAATATTGCCAATAATAAATAATGTAGGTATTTAATGAAGGGAATAGTTATTGGTACAATGCAGAGTAGAGCAAATGTTATTGATTGTTAGTACCTGGTTCAACTGACTTAAAAAATAATTCACAGAAATCATTACTTTTATTACTTATTTTTCACATTTTCTAATTAATATCAACTTTTCTATAATAAGTTTTTTACTTCCAACTCATATAAAATAAAATTGA